GGCATAGCTTGCAATCACCAGGGTAGGCCCCTATCTACCACAGATATTTTGTAACTTTCAAATAATAAGGGTGTGTGATTCTCGTTACTTTCCTATGATTCTTAATTTTAGACATCATACTCCAAACATTCAGCTCCGTGGAACTCTAAGATCCTGTAAGATTTATTCCAGTCTTTGCCATATTTAAAAACGAATCTTTTTGTTGTTTCAACTCAAAGTAGTATCCCAAATGATGTTTTATTTTATACAGGTACCATCTGAATAAGAAATTATGTTTATCTTGCTTTAAATCCCAAGATAAGAAAGCAATACTTTCTCCATTATGTTTAATTACTGATCAAAGTATTGGATTTCATTTTAAAAATAAAGCAGGAGTGTCAGATTTGAACTATGATACCAAGTTGTTGATTTTTAAAAGGAAATTAGTCATGTGATCCAGACTAAATTATTGGTTCAAAAATCCCAAGTATTTAACTTGGTGTAACTAATATGTTCATTTTATTTTTAAACTCTTACTAAAAAGTATTAAAAGTCTTCACTATTCTAATTTTCAGCCAATTTTCTCTGCAATGCACTGGAGGTTTCCATTACTCTTTCAAGTGAGTAGCAGGAGTAATGCTGATTGTTTAAAAATAGTGTAATCTTGACTCAATTTTAGTCTTCATTGAAAGGATCCTTGAACTGTTAAGAAGAATAAAAAAGAAAACCACTTCTGTGTCTAATATTTTAGTGCCAATTAGGTTAGTAATATAACTATAATTGTAAAAGGATAGAAGCATTGTGTTCTGACCCAGACACTACTACTTTGTGGCTTTTCAGCCTTAGGTTTTCAATGTGCAAAATCAGGATAAACCAAAGTATCAGGTTTAAAATGAAGGCTAAAAATACTAGCAAATTTAAGAAAGACAAGACCAGGGCCAGTTTTTAAGTTTTTTATTATAGTAAGGTTAATGTCCTATACAGTACTTTATGGAAGGCTTTTTTATTTGGTTGGTTTTTTGTTTTTGTTTTAACCAAAGATTGACTCTCCTTGCTAAATGGACAGCTAGCAAGGGAGCTTGTTTTACCATAGTCTTACAATAGGCCTGAATTTGTTTTCTGTCACTTCCAACATGACCACATATTGTTCTATTTGATTATTACACTTGGCAAGGAGACACTGCACCCCTTGTACTCATTTGCATGTCCTCTGGGTAATCAGAAGGAGCCAAGTGTGAATGTGTTTAAAGGATTGAGCTTCTTGTAGCTTGCTCTCCTGCAAACCTACAGGAAGATTTGTCCCAGAACTCTGCTTATGAAAAAAAAAAAAAGCTGTCTGTGCATAACCTGATAGGGAATAAATGCAGGACAGTCCTTTGTTGCCAGGCAGATGAAACTCTTTCTCTTGTTCCTAAAATCTAGACTGGAAAAATGACTAGTGCTGCATTAGTACTAATCTAGCCTCGTTCCTTTTGTGATTGTTACGCTCATTATGATTTCAGTGAAAATCCAAGAATAACAATAAAGACATCCGCCCGCCCCCCTGCTGTGGGATACTAAGAAATTTGAAAAAGGTTTACATTGTTAACAGTATCCTAGCACTCAAAGACAGTTTGGCAATTTTCAATTATCCGAGGTTCTTTCATGAATATTGTCTCATTGGATTCTCACATTAGCCAAGTAAGATTGGTAGAGCAGGTATTATTCCAACTGAATAAATAAGAAAATGGAAATCAGAGGGGCTGACTCTTGCTTCAGGCTGTTTAAAATTTCCAGCCCAAAACATTTATCCCTGAATCTTCTTCTACATTAAAGGTAAACATTGAGTGAGTGAGTTGTAACAGGAACTGAAACAGATATGCTCTACTTATTGAAACAATTCTAAAAAATAGATATTATCCTTCCCCCTTTTCCAAATGAACTTGCTAAGAGTTGTCATGTGTCTACTGAAGGTCACCTGGAGCATGACAAAGGGAGCATTCAAAGGTGTCTGATTCAAATGCACACATCCCTTTTTCTGCTACGTTGGCTCTAAAGTGCATTCGCAGATGTGTGTGTGTGTGCATACGGATCCACTCAGTCATCCTAAGGACCCCACCATACTAAAACCTGCAGGTGCACAAGTCACATAGAAAACAGCATGATGTTTATATATAAACTCCTCACACAACATACTTGATATCATGTTACCTTACTTGTAATGCTTAATACAGTTGAAATGCTATGCTTGTCCTACTGCATTTTGGGAGTAATAATGGCAAGGAAAGAGAAAACATGTGGGAGAGAGTGGGCTCAGTTGCACCTCCAGACTCTAGCTTCCAGTATTGTAGACCATGGGAGGGAGTGATGATTGCCCAAGTGACGGCTCCTGCCACCCACATGAGAGACCTAGGTTGTATCCCAGCCTCCTGGTTGGGAAAGCACATGTGTACTCCTTTGCTTGCTTTCTCTCTCTCTCTCTCCACTCCACACTCTCAAATAAATAAGTGATAATAAATGTAAAAGGCTAAATCAATTCATAACAGACACAACTGGGTTTATTTTTCAAATGTTTTCTAGCTATGGTTGGTTGGATTTGCAGCTGTAGCACTCACGGACCTGGAGGGCCGACTGTAGATATATACACATATACATATTCATACACACCAGGCCCTGTGCTCGAGAGGCTAGCACTCAGGTGGTGCCTTCATTTCCATCTGTGTACAGACAATGTATCCGCTTATGTAAACACAGTCATACTAAGTTGCCTGGCTGCCAGTGATCTGGAATGACCTCCAGCAAAGCACACCTGTTCAGTGATCTTCCTCACCTTTCAGATGCCCTTCATCTTTCCTATATCCAAGATGAACTCATGATAAAACAGATATAGAAAATAACCAGTCTCAAGTGCTGGCTATGCGGTTTGGTATCTATAATGGGAAGCATGAAAAAGTCTCGGCTTTTTACTTACTAGCTGGATGTCTTCAAGCAGTTGCCTAACCACTCTGTCTTTCTGCTTCCTTATCTATAAAAATGGGGATCATGATGTTATCGATCATATGGAATTGGTTGGGAGAAGAAAATGAATTTGTGGAAAAATGATTTTCACTATTTGTTTCCCAGAGAAAGATTGCTGGGCAGAGACCAGCAAGATGATCTTGTAGTCTAAACCTCTACCTGGGAGCACTTAAATCCTATATGGGCACTAGTTCATCTCCCAGCTGATCCACTCCTGATTCAGATCCCTGTTTATGGCCTGGGAAAGCAGGGAAGGATGTGTTAACTCTTTAGGTCCCTGCATCCATGTGGGAGACCTGGAAAGAAGAAACTCCATCTTCTTGGCTTCAGATGGGCTCAGCTCTGGTTGTTGTAGGCATTTGAAGCGTGCCTCTCTTTGTCTCTTCCTCTCTCTGTAAAATCTTTCTTTCTAAGTAAAAATAAATAAATCTTTAAAAATAAGAAAATAAAGGTAGCTGGGGCAGGCATCATGGTGTGGTAAGTAAAGCCAGAGCTTGGGATGCTCACATCCCTGGGGTCAAGTCTCATCTCTACTTCCTATCCAGCTTCCTATTGACGTGCCTAGGAAACAGAATGTGATGGCTCAAGTCCCTGCTATTCACGTGGGAGAGCTGGCTGGAGTTTCTGTCTCCTGGCTTTGAATTGGCTAAATCCCTCATAATGGGCATTAGGGAGTAAGTCAGTGTATAGAAGATCTCACTCTCACTCCCGTGCTCTCTTTTGAACAAATAAAGGTAATTTTTAAGAAGGAAAGATGGCCCTGATTATCAGAGCATGTCATTATGTCACCCCTCTAATTAGTGTATTGTAATTTTAAACATTTATCTGTTTGTTTGAAAGGCAGAGATATGGGGAGAGGGGAAGAAACACACAGAGAGATCTTACATCTGTTGGTTCACTCCCCAAATGGCCGCAACAATCAGGGCTGGGCTAGGCTGAAACCAGCAGCCTGAATTCCATGAGGTCTCCCACATGAGGTCGCCTTTGCTTTGCCAGGCACATTGGTGAGCTGAATCAGAAGTGGAGCATCTGAGATCCAAACCAGTGTTCATATGTGATACCAGCATCATATAAAACACTGGCCCCACATACAATGATTCTTTTATTAATAATATATACCCTAAGTATTTGGCTTAGATGGTCAGACTCCAAGCAAAAAAAAAAAAAAAAAAAAGAAAAAAAGAAAAGAAAAGTATACCTCATATCCTTCTATATAGTTTATATTCTTTGCCAAGTAATGAGAAAGTGGATGTATAAGATTTCAGAAATGTACTTCAAAGTGTTAGCACATATAATTATTGGGTTCATATGAAACCATTTAAGAAGAATTCTAGGGTTTCAGAAGTGTGTCAAGCTGTACAGGGCTGCTGTATGGGATGAAATTGTAGACACCATTCCAAAACAGATACTTCACTTCTGTAGATGAGAAAATGTGAGACTTAGAGACGTTCCTAATTATTCAGGTCACACAGCTCATCAGACAGACTTCCGGCCCCTCTGTCGGAAGGCTGATGGCTCTTTGGCTCTTAGGAGCAATGTTGATTCTGGAACGTAGGATTGGCCTTGTTAGTCCAAACCACTCAAGGCAAGAACATGATTTTTACAGCACCCTATTGCAGTGGTGGATCTGGGCTGGCAGCCAATGGAAGAAGAGCTTTGAGGTCCACACTTAAGGCTCTTGGATGTATACAGTCCGTTCACGTGGCGTTTAACTTCTAAGGTGTTAGAGAAATGCAGGTCTGCTGTGAGAAAGGCGACAGCAGATACAATGCACACACATATAGAGTCTTTAGAATGTTTCTTTGCAATTTTTAAACGTTTGAACTTTAAACTTTTAAACTTTAATAAATTACATTGAAAGTTTGATAGAAACAAATTGCAATAAGCAATAGATTCTTTTTTTTTTGCCTTCACAGTGGATTTGTGTATATAGAAGAAGTTCATTTTAAACTGAGCAGTGTAATATTATACATGGTATTTTAATGAATATAATGCTGACTTTTTTCATTTATTTCTGCACCCAGATTCAAAGGACTCCAAAGAGAAGAATAAAATGGAAATCCTGTACATTCTGGTGCCAAGTGTTACCATCCCGCTGGCCATTGCATTACTCTTCTTCTTCATTTGTGTGTGCCGCAATAACCAGAAGTCATCATCACCACCAGTCCAGAGGCAACCAAAGCATGTGAGAGGCCAAAATGTGGAGATGTCGATGCTGAATGCTTATAAACCCAAGGTAAAGTGAGCAGGACAGCACTGCGTGTACTCCCTGGGGTTTAGATTAAAGCACATTATCACCTTCCTAAGCCTACAAATGAAACAATACAGGATCAGAATCTCACAAGTAATAGTTTATTTTCAGTAAATGTAGCCCGACGTTGCCCAAGGCAGCTTGTGCCTACTCCCTGAGTACGTCCTCATCAGTGGCTGGCCGTCCACATTACCCCTTCCTATAGGGTGGCAGGGCCAGCAGCCATCTGTAGACCATTGCAGCCAGTCCACAGAACTCGGAGTGTGAGGAGTGATTCTGAATTCTCAAGGAGATTATATAGTCCAGTGTTTTGGTACATGAGGTTAAGCTGCCATTTGCAGTGCTGGCATCCTATATCTGAGCAGCACTTCTGATCCAGCTTCCTGCTAATGCCCTCAGGAAAGCAGTAGAAGATGGCTTCCAAGTACTTGGGTCCCTACCACCTGTGTAGGAGACTTGGATAGAATTTGCGGTTCCTGGCTTTGGCCCACTTTTGCCCTGTTGTGGCTGTTTGAGGAATGATCCCACAGAACAGAAATCTCTCCTTCTCTCTCTCTCTCTCCCTGTCTCTCACTCTCTGTCACTCTTTCCAATTAATCTTTTTTTTAAAAAAAGAAAAAAAGAAATGCCATCCTCTTCCAACCCAGCTGTGAGATTCGTTCACAAACCTCAATGTGCCTGAGTCATTTTTATTATCCAACAGAGTACAGCTAGTTAAAATGCTCCACTGAATACTTAGAAATGATAAGTCAATCTTGTATTGTTTTCATAATTTAAAAATCCTTTTCATGCCTAACTTAATCAGCTTTCTCTTTGCATTCCTAGAGATGCGCTGTCCTTACAGCAGCCTTTGAATGCTCCTTGTAGGATAACCCACTTCAGTCCTTCCCCTCTGTGCCTAGTCACACACTTCTCTTTGCATTCCCTGCACATCTTTCAACATTGGGTTGCTGGAGGTCCTGGCAAGGAACCTAGGTCATGAACCCTCCCTCACCTTACACAGAGCATCCGTGCTGCATCTTGAAACTGAAATACAACAGGGCTTTCTCTCAGGAAAAGCAACACTTCAGACCCATGCCTCTAGCACAGAAATTTCACTTAAATAACTTAGGGTTGTTGTAAAAGAATCTTGTCTTTTCTTGTTCCAATTCCGAGGGAGCATTTACATATTTACCTTCTCTAAGGAGGCATGACCATCTATTATTCTTTTAATCCTTATAAAAAGGGAGATACACCACTTTCAATAAAATTTTGTGGGATGTTATCACATTCATATTAAGTAATCCTCTGCTCTAATAAATGTAGTAGCCTAAGTGAACTGACATAGAACCTTTATCTTATTTTGTTCATACATCTTGCAAACATTTGTACTACTGTAAATTCGTATTTGCTAGTGAGGATGTGATATACCTAGAGTGTTAAATATTCAACTTCAAGTTGTATCAAGCAAAGCCATTATTGTTCTCTTCCCATAAGAATGCAAATTTGAGTCCTGGCTGCCCTGCCTCTGACTTACTCCCCTTGTAATGTCCTTGGGAAGGCTATGGAAGATGACTCAAGAATGCCATCCCCTCAGACCCATGTTGTGGCCATTTAGGGAATGAACCAGGGGATGAAAGGCTGCTCTGTTTCTCTGTATATGTGACTCTGCCTTTTGAATAAATACTATGCTTTTGTTTTTAATTCCACAAACTCAAAATATGATAGAGCTCACACAGTGACTCTGACGATGTATGGAGGTGGGAGTTTGACTCTTTTGAATCCTACCCTCCAGCTGGCTGATTTCATGCATTATGGATTTCTAGGTAGCATCACACTTGCTCCTTCCTGCCAACTGCCACTAGGTAAAATCTGGCCTTGAAGATGCTTTGGCGTACCACAAGACTTCAAGCCTCTAGTGCAATTAGCCAATATTACATGAGATTCTTCCCCTGTCACTTCTGTTAGGAAATGTTCAGAAGTCTTAGAAATGCCAGAACCGTGGAAACCCAGCTTAGTGTAATGCAAGAGGTCACACACTGTGACAACCATCACCATGGGAAGATGGTTTCCTTATTGCTGTGGCAAGGAACAAAGGAACCATTGATCCCATTTAGGGAAAAGTGTTGCATTTGAGTTGGGCATTTGGTGCACTGGTTTAGACTGTTCTTAAGACATACTGGGGTACCTGGGTTCTAGTCCCAGCTCTGTTTCTGGTTCCAGCTTCCTAGTAAAGTGTACTCTGGGAGGTGGCAGGTAATGGCTCAATACTTAGATCCTTACCACCCACATAGGAAACCCAGATTGAATTCCAGCTTCCTAGTTTTGGCCTGGCTGAGTCCTGCTGTTGTGGGTATTTGGAGAGTGAACCAGCAGATGGAAAAATTTCTATCTCCATTTCTCTCTGCCTTTCGTGTAAAATGAACATTAAAAATATTTTGAAAAGGCAAAAAAAGATGAAGTTTGTAGGTTAGCCTTAATGAACATCTTAATCACATTTTACTGGAGGTTTGTTTACAACACATGATGTCCAACAGACATCTCAAAGAGCTTTGGGCTTAAATGGAGAAATCTAATCTATATTGATCAACACATAATGCTAAGTATATTAGCAGTATACTTCCATTATCTCATCCAGTATTCATGGCCATTATATATGGGCAGAAATATCATCACTATTATACCACCAGGGTAACTGAAACTCAACAATAGATGCAGTAATGTCCCCCAAGCTCAGAGAAAGAGACCTTGGAAGAGATAAAATATGAATATAGGAGTTTCAACTCAAAATTCAACCCTTGCTTGACCTGCAGGTCAAGCGCACATCAGATATGATTCCATTTGGTTAGTTCGTGTTTGACATTGACCATAAGCACTTATGACAAGCCTTTAAGTGAAAGTCACAGCCCTGAATGGCATAGCCCTAGCCCTGTGAGGTACATGTTGAGCTTGGCTCAAGCAATAAGAGTTCTCCATCCTCCTTGGTCAAAGGAACAAAAATAAAATACACTGGCTTGACGTTTCCCAGAGGCTTAATGAAGTAAGCATTGTTTACTTGTTTCTGCATTATTTCTGAAATGCACCTTGCAAAGTTTCCCAGGGTCAAAATTTCTCCAACCTAGAAGGCTTAGACTATAGCCTTAGACAGCTCATAGCTACTTCCGGGCCAGGCAAAGTTAGCAATGGTTGCAGATATTTGATTGTGTTGGGCAGGCAGGAAAAAGAAACAACAAAAACACATACTTACTTTTTTTTCTTGCTTTCCTAAGAGATTTGGCTCAGATCAAATTCGAGTTATTCAGTTGTTTGTTTTGGTTCTTACAGAGTGCCTTTCCTGGAAGGAGCACAAAGGACTCTGTGGACCTTAGAGAAAATTCCTGAGTGTAAACAGTCAATCTCTCAGATGCCTTTGGAAGGTCTTTGACACATAAATATTACATGCACCTATAAAATCCTAAAAAGAAGGGCACACAGAGGAAAGGCAAGTCCTGAGAACAAATGTGTACCCAGGTATGCCCAGGGTATTTGGAGACGCAGATGAACACAGCCTGGAGGCTGGAGGCTGGTCCGCCCTCGCCTTAGTCTTATTTATCCCAGGCCAGTTCAAAGGAAGGGATCCAGGCTTCTTATTTAGCCAAATGAATGTGCCCTTTGGGTTTCGACTATCTGTTTCCATCTCTCTTCACTGGCTGAGCTGCTGAAATCCCCCTGAGTGTTTGGATTAAGAAGAAGCTCCTCTGGGAGATTAGAAACCGATACCCTTCCTGGAGGACAATAGGTAGCCGCTGACGGACTGGCGGACAAGGCCTGACTCAGGTCCCCAGAGAGGCAGGATGCTGCAGTGGCTTTTGATGAGGGCTCAGTTTCCTCCCAGCGTGTGGGGAAGAAAGCAGGGGGCAGAGAAGGGAGAGAGGGTAGGGAGTATCTTAACACTGAGCGATGCACAGTCCCAGGCAGGACCTGGAGGTGTCAGAGGAGCCTCTGACAGCTCTGTGACCCCCTAAGAGGCCATTCTAGCCTTTTCCCTTCCCTTTTTCTCAACTGTTCAAGCAAGCTGTGTCTGCATCAAGGCCTGTTTGTTTATTTCCGCTTTATTTCATTCAGCCCAATATTTTGAGCCATTTAATCCTCTGATGAGTAATCCACTGGTGCCTGAATGAGGCAGGAGTTCCCTCTCCTGCGTTTCTCAGTTCACAGTTGAAATGGTTTGGTGTTTTGTCAAAGCACTGCAGAAAATGCCCCTTCTCAGAGGAGCCTAAATACTCTCAAGGCCCCTCTGTCTGGTTTTTGTTTAGCTTTTCCGTTGCTTCTCGTTCCCCTTCCTCCAGCTCTTCAAATCATCATGACTGAGAAGCAGAGCAGTAGTTAGACATGCCTGGGGGGAGGAGAGAAGCTGTGGAATATGTACTTCTGGAAAGAAGAGGGGCAGTTCCCACTGCAAGTCAGGCACACTCAGCAGGAGGCTCCTGGCTCCCTCCGTAGCCAGGAGTTAAGCTTGCAGAGAAGTTAAAGGGCAGGTGGAAACTTTCCTGAAGACAATTTCACATTCACTGTAGCAACCTTTTGATAAAGCCAGGGGTCTGAATTTAGTCTGACAAAGCAAGCTGCCACTTGGGACACCTGGATCCCAGCTCTGAGTGCTCAGGTTCAAGTACTGGTGCCACTCTCCATGCCCCAAGTGGCCACAATGGCCAGAGCTGAGCTGGTCTGAAGCCAGGATCCAGGAGCTTTTTCCTGGTCTCCCATGTGAGTACAGGGTCCCAAGGCTTTGGGTCATCCTCCATTCCTTTCCCAGGCCACAAGCCGGGAGTTGGATGGGAAGTGGAGCAGCCAAGATATAAACCAGCATCCAGTAGGAACCCAGCACATGCAAGGTAAGGACTTCAGCCACTAGGCTACTGCATTGGGCCCTAAAAAATGCTTTAAAATGTTTGAAGCTGATTTTTGAATATGTTACTGATCTAAAGTAAAGTTAAATAATTAAGAGTATAAAGTTACCTTTCTCC